ACCCTTTTAAAGCTAACCATACTTACGAGCCTACATGGTTTTCTCCCTTTTCTAAGCTCCTATAGAGTTCTACCTGTACCACTCACTTTTCACAATCACTGTCTTAATGTCTTCATGTACGTATTTCTGTACTACAAGGACCAGAAAACAGTCCTTGCCATCAAAGAGCTTATAATCTTTCCTCTCTTAAATGCAACACATTCATTCAACAAACTCATTTACCAATTGCCCCCTGTAGGCCAGATTATTCTTTCTAACACATGGATACAAACACCAGGTCTCTAGCCTCAATGAGCTCACAATGTAACAGAATTAGAATGTACTAAGATGGGTTTCTCTAAAAAACAAAAACAAAAACAAAAACCACCTCAGTCGTTCCTCTGCTGAAAACATTCACTGACTTAACCTACCACTGCATAAAGAATAAAGTCAAACTCCTTTACCTGGAAGTCAATGTCCTTTTATACTCTAGCCCTGACTGCCCTTTGGTCCAAATATGCTACTTTCCAATTTCTGTACCCTCCAAGCATATTTCTCAATGTGCCTTTCCTTATGCCATTTCCTAAGCCTTAAAAACTGGATCAAATCCCTTCTGCAGATCTCAACTCCAACAATCCTTTCAAAGCCCAGTTAACTCCATGAGGCCTTTCCAGTCAGTACACTCTTCCAAAATCCTATATAATGAATTTATACCATTCCTTTAGCGGTGAACAAATGTGATGTGCTGTATCTTTTCATAGCCTCCACAATATCCAACACAATATCTGGCCTACAGAAAATGCACAGGAATTATCCTATTACTAATTTACTTAATTACCTTGGGTATCTAAAATAATTGACCCATGCGTGAGGATAGCCTGTCCTCTGGGGCCAGTCTCCCCAATCCCAACTCAAAGAGCTGTTCTATATAGGTCTGTAGTACTCAACCAATCACTTTCAGGTGCTCAATTTCCAGTCGAATTTGGGTGTAAAAGCAGAATTGAGGGTTTAAGTAACTTTCCCATAGATCTGCAAAGTCCTATTATGAGTCAAAACATAAACAAACAAACAAACAAAAACTCAAATATAAAAGAATCAGGGCTTCCCTGGTGGCGCAGTGGTTGACAGTCCACCTGCCATGCCCCAGTCCGGGAGGATCCCACATGCCTGCCGTGGAGCGGGCTGGGCCCGTGCGCCGTGGCTGCTGGGCCAGCGCATCCGGAGCCTGTGCTCCACAACGGGAGAGGCCACAAAGATGACTATAACCGTGAAGTACTGAGATCAGTGTTATGGGATCAGCCCTGATTTGAGGTCTATATTTAAATAGCAACCAACTCTCCTGTCTCAAAAATGAACTGTTGTGTTAAACTGGAGCAGCATTTCTAAATATCTCAGTTTTTCTCCCCCTTTTGAATGGCATGGGTAAAAAAGGAACCCACTGTCCCCTCAGGTAATGAGTTAGTTGGGGATAAAGTATTTCCAAAAATCTAAGACAAGAAAGCACTACTGCTGCATTTACCACAGTGTGGTTTAAGTATCTGCTTATGAACCTGTCTCTCCAAACAAGCCATGAGCTCCTGAAGAGCAGGGAATCAAGGACTGGATATATTGTCTTACTCATCTTTGTATATCCTAAGTCAAACAGTCTGGCACACTCAAGGGACTCAATAAGTGCTCTCTCAATTAATGAATGAATTCCACCTTAGGTTAAAACATGTTCAAAATGCCAACAGCCTGTTAAAAAGTAATGGAAAGAGGTTAGATAATATATTCAAATGTCAACTGCCTGTTAAAAAGTAATGGAAGGTAGAAGTCACATGCATTTTATATTTAAGCAAACCAAGCATAATCTACTGACATCTTCCTTCTTCAGAACCATTTCCAACAGTTTACATATAAAATTTCCTAAGAAATTATTCCATTTTATCCCTCATCTTATCAGTCTTTTCCATTTTTTGCATGGGGATAAAAATGTGGGAAGAAAAAATCCTTTCTTGACACTCTACCAGATCCTTCTCCAGTGTTCCTGCCTCAGTTTCAAATAGTTCCTGGTTTTTTATTACCCCCAAACCCATTAAAAAAAAAAAAAAAAATCTGAAAAGTCGATAAGGGAGTAATTATCAAAGAATGGAAGCTTCGGGACCAGAGTGGGGGAGGTACATACGTACTTTAATCTGCTCCCAATATTCTTTAAGACTCACTGTCAAATTTAAAAGGCACTATGCAAAAGTTAAAGTACTGCACACAAAGTGATATATTATATATACATATACTACACACATATGTATTACGTGTATATATGTATGTATATAAAACTGAAGCTATATGAAAACAATTTTTGGTATAAAACTGTTTCCTCTTATATGTACTTCTTTAAACAGCATAAATACTACATATTGATACTGAGGTAAAAAAAGAAAAAACTCTAGAATTAGCCAGAAGAGGGAGTATACACATTCTCAAGTACAAAACTATATGATGATGGTGTTAAAAGGTTTTATTACCTCTGAAATAGCAAAGTTAATCAAGTTAAATATTGTTCACAGTTTTCTAAGGGGAAATGCTCACTAAAATATGGGCTATTTACAGTATAGTTCTCCCATACATTATATCTCTAGAAGTATAAAGAACTTTGAAAAAGAGAAGGAAAAATAGTACCAGTACTAATCTCTCCAATGACCTAAGTTTAAAACATGCCCCAATTTGATTTAAATACGTGAGTTTATCAACGATCTCTACATCATTAGGCTGATGAATAAAAAGCCCAAAACAAACTAAAAATTCAACAAACTTAAACATGCAGCCATACCTTTTAACCCTTTCTCTTCTAGGTATGATTTCAAAGCATTCCCAATACTAACATGGTCAATTAAGCAGTAATTTGTTCTTTTAGAACAAACATTCTTTAAAAGAATGGTGATTGTTTAAAAAAAAAAAGAAAGTCATGCTGTCCTTTTACCCAACACCTACATCAAAGATAATCAGAAACAATAAATCATTCATAAGAAAGAATGTTTACAGAAACATTTCTTATAGTGAGAAGGCAGAAGCAATGTAAAACTCCATTAGTAAAAGAGTATGCAGCTACTGAAATTAAAGAGCTATTATTAATGACATTAAGGATAACATTTATTAAGCTAAAAAACAAGTACAGAAGAGCATATAAAATAAAATTTCATACATATATCTAAATGCAAAATTCAGTATCTTTGGGAGGATTATCTCTAAGTGCTGGAATTTTGTGACATTTTTATATTTCCTCAGGAAAAAAATTTACAAAAAAATCACAATGAGGCTGTATCATTTTTATGATAAACCTTTTTAAAAAAGATTATACTGGGCTTCCCTGGTGGCGCAGTGGTTGAGAGTCCCTCTGCCGATGCAGGGGACACTGGTTCGTGCCCCGGTCTGGGAAGATCCCACATGCCACGGAGCGGCTGGGCCCGTGAGCCATGGCCGCTGAGCCTGTGCGTCCGGAGCCTGTGCTCCGCAACGGGAGAGGCCACAACAGTGAGAGGCCCGCGTACCGCAAAAAAAAAAAAAAAAAAAAAAAAAAGATTATACTAACTTCAGTAAATATGTCCAGTAACTATGTGGTGCCCCATAATTGTGTGGTTTAGCCACTCTGAGAGGCAATCAGTCACTATCACAATGATAAATGCACATTCACTTTGATTTAGCAATTACACTTACAGGTATTTATAATATAGCTATTTTCACACAAGTGTGCAAAGCCACAGATTTGTTCAAGAATATTCACAGCAGCATTGTTTATTTTGGATGTGACCTGTCTGTCAACAGGGACTAGATAAATTATGCATACTCATACAATGAAATACTGTGTAGCCATGAAACAGAATGAGGTAGCCATGTGTGTTGGAGTTGAATGACATTCAAGATAAATTAAAGTGAAAAAAAAGAGAAAGAACAGTATGTATCAATTAACAAAGAAGAAAGAGGGAGAGATATACAGACAAGTATACTTGTATTTGCATAGACTATCTTGAGGACACACAAAACACTGTAAACAATGGTAGCTGGTGGGTTGGAGGTCTAGAAATGGTGTTAAGACTTATTTTTCATACTAAACACTGTAAACCAATTTGTATTGTGTGATTTTTTTTTTTACCATGTATGTATGCTCTTTTAAGTTTTATAGTTTTTAAATATTACGCAGTGAATTACTTTGCTGTTGTATAAACAAATATGTTTAAGGAAAATAATGTTAACGCTAAGTATTAATATTATACTATCAAAACACTTGTTTTTAAGGGTTAAAAAAATTCTAAACTATCATCTGAACAGTTTACACGACCATAAACCTGAACTCTTCTTCTGGACAAAGTGGTTTACATTGTTGCTAGTCAGCAAATCCAAATCTGCTTAACCTAGTCCTTGTTTTGCTCTGGGCATTGTAGCAGTTTAAAAAAATCTGTTCTCTCTTGCTATATTTAATGAAAGGATTTTCTATTGGCCACACAGTAAGTATGGAATAAGGGAACAGATTTTCTCCTTTTCATTAATATTAATCCTTCCGGGTCAGTATGGCCTAGTCGTCCCTGACAGAATAACAAATGAAATGCCTACATAAGACAAACATGACGATGACTCACTAAATATAGTAGTTTCTACTCCAAGGGTATTCTAAGAAAATAAAACTAAGAAAAATATATTAAATCAAAGTATATTCTTAAGTAAACACAAGTCTAATGGCTCAGATCAACTGCCACTAACATGCTCTAAACTTTGGGGAACCCACTTCCCACGAATTGGAAGTTACTCCAAATAAAGAGAGAAAACGTTGCTTAACACAGTGATAGAGGTCTTTTTTTTAAATCACATTTGTCCCATGTACTATCAAATACCAAAGAAACAATCAACAAGGTTATACTGGAAGGGATACCTAATCAAAAGAGGCCTGTCAGTGTTGGCTTACCCAACACCACTGCTTATAATGATGTATCAAACTTCCTGAAAATAAGTGGTAAACACTTAAAAAATTAAAATGAATATGAACTCACCTTTAACACTTTTTCTATTAACATCTGCCCCCTTTTCAAGTAAATACTGAGCAATCTCTTTGTGTCCTTTGTAACATGAGATCATCAAGCATGTATGCCCATGTCGGTTTGACACTTCCAAATCAGCTTTGTGTTCTACCAGGTACTTGACTATTTCCAAATGGCCATCGAAACAGGCAGCTCGAAGAGGAGTTGAATTGGTTAAAGTCGTGTTGTTGACAGACGCTCCATGATTTAACAAAGACTGAACCACCTTCAGATGTCCTGCTGCAGAAGCGGCCCACAAAGGGGGAGCCCCCTCAATGGTTTCGCCATCAAAATTGACCGAGCCCCCGACTTCTATGGAGGCACTGCACTGCTCTAGGAGAAATTCCACCATGTCAAGGTGCCCATACCTGGCGGCCATCAAGAGTGGGGTGGCCCCATTTGTTTTTTCCGAGATCAAGGAGGAAACCTCCTCTTTAGATTTGCTTGCCAACAATTTGGTGAGAAGCCGGAGTTTGCCATCTCGAGCTGCGTTAAATACTGCTGTCTTTAGATCCATTTATGTCCAGTTGAGAAGCTGTGCTTTATTTATCCTTCAAAGCAAAGCTCCAGCTTAACTCTATTGACACAGGCAAGGGTTACAGGAACCAAAGTTCAATGTTAATCACGGCGCCCCAGAACGGGTGTATGTTCTGTCTATTGCCGTCCAACATATGACAACTAGAGCGCCAAACTAGAGAGAGAGAAAAAAAAAGTAGCGGTTTTGAAATTTCCATAGGTAAAGGCGAAAACACTAGGTTTTCTTAATTTTTACTCCTGGGGGGGGGAGCCACACTTTAGGGACTACTCCGCCTCCCCAAAAAAGGTGGGAAAGAAGAATACAAAAAAGATACACACAGAGACCCAAATGTTATGGTGGGAGACAGTCTCTTCTCTGTATACAGTAAATTTAAACACTACAGGCAACCGGTTTTCTCGCCTCCTAACCAGCCAAGCTTTGGGCTAGTTTTGCTTTGCACGCGCCCAGAGAGAGTACAACCCAAAGAGGCAGGAGACGCGGGTGCAGAAATGTTTCCCTTTCTCACATCTGCAGAGGAGAGCGGGCCAAGGGCGCGAGGCTGCAAGGCCTCGCTGTGGCCAGGATGGCTTTCGAGAAGGAACAAAAAAGGTCGGACCCAACAAAACGCGGCCAGCTAACGCCAAAACCCTCACCCGAAAGGTTCTCTCTCCTTTAAAACTACTCGAGGCTCTCAGGAAATCCGGCTGCCTTTTAGCTAACTTCGCCCGCCCCGCAAAGGGATCCGTAGGTCCCCCAAACCACAGCCGCCCCTACACAACCTTCACCTCTACCTTTTCCCGATAGGGGCAGCCCCCTCCCCAAGCTCCTCCATCTACCACGACCCCCTCCCGCAGGCCGACCAGCCTGTGGCCTCCAGCCCGCTGCCCGCCTTCCGTTCCTGCGAGCGCCCTCCTTCCCCTTCCCGCCCAGGCCTCCCCGCGGGAACCTCAGGCCGCGGCCCGGGCTCGGCCGACCGCCGCCGCCGCCGCCTCCACTACCTGCCAGGGGGCTAGTCCTTCCCGCCGCCGCCGGCCACTAGGGCTCGGGCTGCCCCCTCAAAATGAGACCGCTGTCCGCGCCGCCGTCCTCACCGCCCAGCTCCGCCTGCAGCCGCACAGCTTCTCCATACCCCGCGCCCCACAGGAATGAATCCGGCCGCGCCGCTCGCCCCGCCCCGCCGAACTGCCTCCCGCCCTCCCAGTCTGCGCGGGCTGCAGCGGCTACGGCAGCAGCCGCGGCGGATGGTATAATGGACTGCGGACCGGGGGCCGGACATGCCAGAGCACTGCTTCACATCACCGACGCGGCAGCCTCGCCATTGGGCCGGGGGAGGGCGGCGGCTGCCGCGAGCAGCCGCCTAGGGGCGGGGAGGGGCGGGGAGGGGCGGGGCAACGCCGGAGGCGGCCGCCGAAGGTTGGCGGAGAGGCTGCCGAGATGTTGGGGGCTGCTCCGCGCTCCACCTTTCGGGGCGCTGGTTCCGGATACCTTTGGGTCCCAAGGCCATAACCCCCCAGAGGGGTGGTAGCCATTATTTCTTTCTCGCAGACATCAACTCTCTCAGACTAGTCTCTTCTAAGGCTCCTTCCTTTGGTGGGCCCTGGAATATACCGAGCTCGTTGTGAGGCCTCAAAAAAGCAAAACAAGAAAAACACAACAAACTTGAGAAAAAGCTTAGTTTTGGAGGCTGCCAAACATGGATTAGTTTATAAAAATATGAACTCTAAAAAAATATAAAGCTACAAGAAATGATAAAGCTTAACAGCAGTTTAAGTCAAGAAGGTCGAGTTCTTCATTCTGAACAGTAAAACCAGGAAATGAGAGGAAGCTAAAAAGTTAATATAAATGAAAAGAATTACTACTTTGTACAGCAGGAAATAAACTTGTGGAATTCATGACGTTAACACATGGGATGTTTTAAACTAGGTTGAGGAAGAGTTTAAATATGTTTGGAGACTTAACACCCATAGGGAATCATGATGAGAAAATAGTTTTGAAAAACGTAGTTTTCAATCTCTTGAACACTTTATTTTGGGGGACTTAAACTCACACAGTTTTTTGGTAACGTTAAAAGAAAGAGAATGTTAGATTAGACATTTGACCCCCAGCATCATAAGTGTAATTAGCATTATTACTTAAAAAGTAATGCAACATTAAAGACATTTTATTAAAAAATCACTTCATTTTTGCATATTTACTTATTGTCCAGAATTTTATGTAGTTTTGTATAATTGAAATAATAATTTTCATACAACTACATATTTTGCTTTTTTACCTTACTATACTCTAAAGATTTCTTATTTTTTATGGTCTTAATCATTTTTAAGTGGGGCATTATATTTGCCTCAGGCAGTCAGTATATAAGCTCAACATCAGTACTCCAAAATTGAAGTTAAGGTTACTACCACTGAGAAGAAAATACAGAAGGGCAGAATAGAAAGGATGAGGGTAGCAATCTATAAAAATCAAACAACCAAGAGGAATTGGCTGTTTTATCCCTAGTGTTAAAGGTCACAGTTCTACACTCCCAAGGTGTAAACACCAGAGTACAGTTTCCCAACCAACGCCTAATGTGAGCTGACCTATCTCTCTTATCAAATTCAATAAGATGATGTAAAAATTTACATCAGTGGTCTTCAAATGGACATGAGCATCCCCCAGGGGATTTTCAAGGGGTAGGTGCACACTTAGTTTTAAGGCCACCAGTTTCTGAATCTTCAGCTTGCATCTGTATCACTTCCTAAAACTGATCTGCTGGTAAAGGAATGCAGTATGGCATCTCCCTGTTTCATTTCCCAGCTCTTTTACAATAGCCATATATTTCCCAAATTGCAAAAAGAAAGGACATAACTTTCACTCACTGAGAATCTTAAAATGGTGCATTGTTCCAGGGTATAAAACCTCAGGCAGGGCTTCCCTGGTGGCGCAGTGGTTGAGAGTCCGCCTGCTGATTCAGGGGACACGGGTTCGTGCCCCGGTCCAGGAAGATCCCACATGCTGCGGAGCGGCTGCGCCCGTGAGCCATGGCCGCTGAGCCTGCGCGTCCGGAGCCTGTTGCTCCGCAACGGGAGAGGCCACAACAGTGAGAGGCCCGCATACCGCAAAAAAACAAAACAAAACAAAAAAAAACCTCAGGCAACCTTTGTCAGTTCTTTATCAATTTAAAATATTGGACTGTACAGAGAAAGTATACTCCTAATGACTGGAAAACAAATTCTTTTGCAAGCTAGGTGATTTCCAAATAATTACTTTCAACAAAGTATGACCTCAAGATCACTGAGTTTATAAATTGGAAGGAGTTCAAAGAATTGAGTGAATTGATGTGACAACACTTCTTACAGCCCCATATACTTATTAATGTAAAAACATTTTCTTAGAATTTGTAAAAATGAAAAATTGAGAAAAACATTGACGCTTAACTCTCTCATTCTTGTAAAATGTAGTATTTAACAACAAATGCATGCACTAATTGTAAAAAATTACATGTTTAGTAATTATAAACATTTGTAATATATTTTGCATTGTTTTGAATACCTGATCATTACTAATAAATATAATAATATCTTAATCTAGAAGAAAATGTTCTAACACATAGTCTTTCAGTCACGGGAAATTTTTAAATTAAATATATTTATATTTTCATCACAGATAAATGTAATAGGATGATCAATAAAATACATTCAAACATAAAAATACATTAAACTAGGATATGATCCTGAGGGATGGGGAAGCGGAATGGAGCTATAAGTGTGAAAAGAAAAATAAATTACATAAAATATACTGAAGGTAAAGAAGAGTTTGTTCATATATTTTGTAAATAGCTGATAATAGGCATAATTGCTATGGTATTTAGATTTCATTGGATTCACTTAAAAGAGTGTTTAAAATGTCATTTTTACAGTATGCAGGAAATTGTATCCTTTGCAACTGCTTAAACTTATGATGAAAAGATTTTAGATGTTAACCTAGAAATATGCAAGAGGGTAAATAATATTTCATGTATGTGAACAAAAATATTTGAAGACTACTGATTTACTCATTAACCTCCTATTGGAGGTTGTCTCCATTTCTAAAGATTTTGGCAGTATTTGTTCTTCCAATCTTTGTTTTTAGTTTTTTTATTTTCTTAAATAGAAACTCAACTAAAATTCCATTTTCTGTTTTGCTGAAAGATCTTACATTGTGTTTCTCAACACCCATCTCCTAGGGCACCTTTTATGACTGGGAAGGAAAAGTTTTTTTGTTTGGCTTGCTTGGTTCGATTTGGATTGGTTTGGTTGCTAAGGCTTTGGACTCTGGTTTAATCAGCAATTACTGTGGTCCTGAAAGCCTCAGAATATTTGGGGGGATATAACAAGGAGAACCATGGACTCAAGGTCAAGGAGTCTGCAGGTGGTACAGGTGGGAACTAGAGAGGTAGAAAAGGGGGAAAGGACCAGAGGGAGCCTCTGAATAACCCATTCTGGTAAGTGCCCAGGGGATGGCAGGCAAAAGACGAGCCACTTTCAGGAGCCAAGGCAAACACCCAGTCTACCTCTGAGGGGAAGCAATGCGTCACTGCATTCACAGCTCTGACTCACTGGCCTTCCCTGAGACCCAAGGCACTACAAGTCCCTAAGAGTGCACCTCTCTGCAAGGCCCCCAAGACACTGTAAGCCCAGAGGGGACACTACCCCATACCTGAAAGGGTGGTGGGAAGGAACTGGACTAGCAGAGACGGGGCACCCTTATTACTAGAACAACAAACATTTTCAAGTTGTCTAAGTTGTTTTCTTCTTTTCATGTATTGCTTTGGGATAAATTTCCAGGAGCTGGATTATGGAACATCTTTCTGGCTTCTCATACATATTGTATCACTTTCCCAAAGAGTTAGGCCAATCTGCTTATACTAGTGGCAAGAGAGTGTGCTGAATTCGCCGAAACTTGTACCCACTAGATATCATATTTTTAAAATTCTTGCTACTTTGGTATGTGTAAAATAGTATATCAAAATTTCCCAAATTTGTCTGACCACCTTGTGATTTTTTGGCGTCCATATAATCTCCTATAATTAGTAAACTATTCCTTCTTAAGTTTTCCTTCTGGGGATTTTTCAATGTTTTATTCTTGCTGGTCTCTGCTTAAACCAGAAACCTCAATGAAAGATTCTGCTTGCACAGTTATAGTAAACTTTGTTAACTTCATCTAACTTCAGGAAAGGATAGGATGAATGAAAAAATACTTCTTGGGACTTCCCAGGTAGCGCAGTGGTTGAGAGTCCGCCTGCCGATGCAGGGGACACGGGTTCGTGCCCCGGTCTGGGAAGATCCCACATGCCACGGAAAGGCTGGGCCCGTGAGCCATGGCCGCTGAGCCTGCGCGTCCGGAGCCTGTGCTCCGCAACGGGAGAGGCTACAACGGTGAGAGGCCCGCATACCGCTAAAAAAAAAAATAAAATAAAAAAAAGATTTAGTAAGTAACTGAGCACTGGTTTAATTTAAAAAAGTGTGAAAGGAACCTACTTTAAAATAGTATAGCAATGTGTATGCTTCCCAAGCTATTTAGAAATGCCTTTCTTATAAACGAAATCGATTTTATTAACACTGATAATTTGTTTCACCAAAGTAGTTTTTCATAAATTCATTCTTCATGTCAATAGTTACTGAATCCTATTGTGTACTATGTTAGATGCTAAATGGATATGATCCCTGCTTTTAAGGAATTCATGGTCTGTGGGAGAAATGTAGCAATAAACAGATCAAAGTGAAATATATATATAAAGAATTGTGAGAGCTCAAACGATAGAGCCACTAACTCTCCTTGGGCAAGCCTGGAAAGGAGGTGATGTTTAAACTGGATCTTCAAGGATTACTGGAAGGACACCCAGCTAAAAGGCAGTGGGAGAGAGCAGAAGTCCCATCAAGAAACAAGGAGCTGAAAAAACACAAGAGGTGGCCCTTTCTTTCTTTCTTCCCCACTTCCCACCCAGGTACAGAGTGGAAAACTAGGCGACCTTCTGAATGTACAAAGATTTCACCCAATCCCCATAAGATGAAAAATCCATCTCCACTTGCTGCAGCAGAATGAGCCTCTACATTATTGTTTCTTATAATGTGGCCCACAAACCTCAGGAATAAGAATCACCTAGGAAACTTGTTTAAAATGAGGATT